AAAATAACGTACCCCTGATATGGTAAGACTTCTAACATATAACTATGGACTCTTAACATTTTATGTTTGGCAGCCTGAGAAAAGTGTGAAGGTGCGTAGCTATAAGAACACTAAAACATTGGACAAGAAACCCTCGTCTTAACATTTAACTTCTTACCACCACCTCCAGTTTCAACTTTTCCCTTCTTAGGGAGAAAAATTATACAAACAGAAGACAAAAACCTCATATCTCTGATAAAATATTAAAGCTTATCTAAGTTGGCTTTTTGGGTTTTTTTGTTTGGTTGGTTTTTTTTTTTTTGCCTTCCCCCTTTTGGAAGATGATAATGTTCTAGAACCTGGCTTTCAAGAGAATAATAGAAAACTTAATGTCTATTAAAAAAAAACACTACCACAAGAAAAACAAAAAACCCAAAGCATAACAAAAGTAGAAAAGAAATCTTTTGGTCACTCCCACACTGGAACATTCCATAGTATTACCAGCAGCAGTACAAAGAAGAGAGGATGACAGAGATAATAAGGTACTCTTACATGTCAGAAAATTACAGTTAGTGCATTGAAAAATAGGAATCAGACTCATGTAAGGTAATTACAACCTGTTACTGCAAACCAAACATTGTGGAAAATGCCTAGAAAACCTACAGGATGCATACAGAAAGGGAAGTTACAACAAGTAGCCAAAGCAGTGTTTATCACAAGAGAATATGAAACACAGGGGAAAAAAAAGCTACTCTTAAATCCTGCCCCTCAACAAGATTTAAAGTATTACCTTTGACATCTATAGTTGACAGTCTTGCAGATGCCTGTTTACTCTTCCCTTTGAAAAAAAACTGAAGGAGGCCTGTCTTTGTGCTTTCATCTTTAGCCTTCTGTCCCATGCTGGTTAGAACAGTCAGGATGTAGCTATGGATACTGGCACATAAATAGCCATGATGAAAGGGCCCTGCCACGAAGAAAAGGGCAGCACCAGACAGCAAAGCAGGGAAACAGTCTGACTACACACATGTCAAACAACATTCTCAATTGTCCATCCAGATTTAACAAATATCAAAATGCTAAATAAATTAAATTCCTAAATGACACCTTCCACTCACTGCTGTACAGCCACAGGGGGAGGAGAACAGGCAAAGCAATTCCTTCAGAATGTTTTAAAGCACTGGACATTATCTTCTAGTAAGCTTGCTAGTGTGCTAGTCAAGCACTGCAAAATAGTGAAGCACTCAGTTCACTGCTCGAGTTCCAAGACAGTGATAATTCTGAGGCTACACATATACAAGTTACAGGCATCAGTGGAGCTTGACAAGTGAAATAGAAGTCTGTATGATGCTTTGGTCCAGTGTTAAACAGTGGAAATCTTCAAGATGGCAACTGTAGATTTGGGTACTCAGGTTCTACATAAATTCCCTTTAAGCAGTAACTTTATCTTCCAGATCTGGAGCAGAAACTCTTGGGTTCAGCTCTCAAAGCATAACACCTGTAACAGGCAGGCTCCACTTGAACTCTTTTAAAGCAAGCTAATGGGGAACGTCCAAAAAAAAAAATTATTTTTCATACACAGACATTTCCTTCATTCTGGTATTATACCCCTTTCAAAAGTTATTAACTTAACCCACACCAGCAGGAACAACAGCTACACTACAATACTTACTTAAACTGATGGTGGTGTAACAAGCAAAACCTGAGTTTATGGTTTGTGAAAATAACCACACAAAAAGCTGTGATTTCAATTCTCAACTAAATTAATTACATTTTAATGCAGAAGCAACCTCAGGAAGTATTCCTATCGCAAGCTTGCTTTCTCCGAGTAACTGTTGTAAGAAGTTTAAAGCCTCTGAACACTGCCATCTCAGTATTTACAAATCTCCAAATGTAATGGTATCAAGATCTTTTGCAGTCTCAATACTCATGGACCACTGTGATTCAGTCAGCTAAGTATCATTTTCAGAAACTATTTCTTAGCTCCCAATAGAAGAAGTATAATGGCATACTATTTTTTATTATTTCATTGACATAAATTTTAAGACTTTTTGCCAGCTTAGCATTGGTACATATAAAAAGATTAACTTTAGCAGGAAAATATTAGATATATACACGGTCATCATTCCAGCTTTAGTGACATGGAGAAACCCAAAACACTGCTGAAGTAATTATATGCATATTTTGTGCTTGAATCTAATTATTACAACTTTGCCAGTATTTAAAATTACCACTTACTACTACATGCACTGGTCAGCTTTTGCACAATGGGGAATTGTCGCGATCCGCGATCTATTAGATCTCCTTTTTGGAGTGTATTAAGCTTATCAGGATTTGCTGAGAGGTCCACACGTGGGTATCGCCTCACACAGAGGAGACAGGGGCTTATGCCCTGACTTTTTTGAGTGTGTAACTTGCTCAGTGCTTACTAATATTTCCAACGAAATGCACGGTTTATTGTGGGGAAAACAAAGCAATTTGGGGCAGGAGGTTCAAAAGGAGTGATTAAAACACATAAAATATATATGGGTACACCTTAGTTACACACCTTATTTACTTATTTAAGTGA